ACGCGGATGGTGATCAGGAAAGTCGGAGTTCCTTATCTGCATTCCTACTCTGTGTTAGGACTGAAGCTGAAGGATCATCATGACAGATCATTATTATTTACAGAATGAGAAATCGGCTCCTGTGTCTCTAAGGAAAGGTTTACTGTAAAATATTTCACATGCTGTTGGGACCCTCCCACCCCGGCAGTGCTGCGAAGGAAGGAGACAACACTTTTCAAAGGCTGCAGTTTTTTAGTCTCCGCCCACTGCCTGTTTTTTTTTTTGACAGTTGGTGAGTATCACAATACTCCTGACCCCATCCCTCGCTTTCTTCCTCTGAGAAACCCACTCCAACCCCCCGCCCCCTTCTTCTAATAGTGCAACCACTTCGGTTGCATGTCTGATTACAGCTTTCAGCCATCCTATGGTATCTATCAGAGGCGTAATTAGAACCTTCAGGGCCCCAGTGTTGTCACCATTGCCTGCATGTTGTCACCCCTGCCTGTGTATTTTCTCCATTGCCTATGTGTTTTCACTAGTGCCTGCATGTGGTCACCCCTCCCCATGTCTTTCCATAATTGTCCATGTGTTGTCACCATTGTCCAAGTGTTGTCACCCCTACTGATGTATCTCCACCATTGCCTATGAGTCAGTGTTGCCCATGTGCTGTCACCCTCTGCCTGCCAATTTTCTCCGTAGCCCATATGTTGTCACTATTGCCTGCATGTTTGTACCCCGCCCCCCCCCCCCCCCCCCCCCGATTCTCTGCCTCATCCAACTCCAGTCTGGCCTTCCAAGGACATGCCCTCATCTCCTCGGCATTCTCCCCTTCACTCTGCTCCCTTCAGAGAATGGGCCCACTGCACAGGTGTACCGGCTCCTCCCCTTCAGTCTTGCACAGGTGTACCGGCTCCTCCCCTTCAGTCTTGCACAGGTGTACCAGCTCCTCCCCTTCAGTCTTGCACAGGTGTACCTGCTCCTCCCCTTCAGACCTGCACAGGTGTAGCGGCTCCTCCCCTTCAGTCTTGCACAGGTGTACCGGCTCCTCCCCTTCAGACTTACACAGGTGTTGTGGCTCCTCCCCTTCAGCCTTGCGCAGGTGTACCGGCTCCTCCCCTTCAGTCTTGCGCAGGTGTACCGGCTTTCCCCTTCAGCCTTGCGCAGGTGTGCCGGCTCCTCCCCTTCAGCCTTGCGCAGGTGTGCCGGCTCCTCCCCTTCAGCCTTGCGCAGGTGTGCCGGCTCCTCCCCTTCAGCCTTGCGCAGGTGTGCCGGCTCCTCCCCTTCAGCCTTGCGCAGGTGTGCCGGCTCCTCCCCTTCAGCCTTGCGCAGGTGTGCCGGCTCCTCCCCTTCAGCCTTGCGCAGGTGTGCCGGCTCCTCCCCTTCAGCCTTGCACAGGTGTGCCGGCTCCTCCCCTTCAGCCTTGCGCAGGTGTGCCGGCTCCTCCCCTTCAGCCTTGCACAGGTGTGCCGGCTCCTCCCCTTCAGCCTTGCACAGGTGTGCCGGCTCCTCCCCTTCAGCCTTGCACAGGTGTGCCGGCTCCTCCCCTTCAGTCTTGCCCAGGTGTGCCGGCTCCTCTCCTGGACTGAAACGGCTTCCTCTGATCTCACTGCACGCTGGGACTCTTTAAAGTGCATCAGAAGCTGCAAGTCGGATAGAGCTCCACCTCATTTCCTGGCTGGAGGGCGTTCAGCACCATCTAGCCCTTTGCTCCCCAGCCTGACTCTCCCTGGATCACCTCTTTTATTCATTGGATTTCAGTTGTGTCAGTTATGGAGGCTTAGCATCACATGTGGGTGTTACCTAGGGTGGTCTGCACACAAATGGAATGCCCACTCCTCTAGACTGACCCCCACCCTCCTACTGCTTACATCAGGTCTAAGAGCTCTTGATAGGAGTGCTGACGCTGAGTGTTGTGATGTTTTTCAGGAAGCTATGTACAGCACCCTGCCTGCCCCTTCCCCCAGCCATGATCTGCTTGCATTGCGTAGAGAAGGACAGAGACCCAGTGATGACATCACTGGGTCTAAAATAAGGGTTATAATGGAACGTAAAAAGGTTTTATATAAAAAATGAGGGGACCAGGGGATGAGAATAAATGACGTCTGTAAGTAGATTGTGGACTCCCTTCATCTTCAGGCTTTTTTCCTCCTTCTTTCACACTCTGCAGAGAACGATAGAGATCTGTCTGAACTTTCACTGGACAGAAGTTTGTTTTGTCTGCCGGATATAACCTGACCAATGGAGGCTGCGTCCTCCGAGACTGCGTCTTCCATGGATACAGATCCGTCTGTGTGGATTCCAGACCCGAGTGCAGGAAGTGGCTGGCTGGGAGATGCAATCTCCAATTAGTGAGCCAATTCTTTACCGCCGTCCTGAAAGGGAAAAAAAACCCCAAAAACCCAAAATGTCCCGCTATTTAAAGCAGAACTCCGGACACAACACTTCCTCAAAAGCCGCAAATAACATAAATACACTTCATGTGGACCACATACCTCTACAATCCCGACATTCCAAACACAGCAGAGCAAAAGGTGCTGAAAGACTTACAGTTCATTTTCTCTTTAACCACTTCCCGTCCGGCCCATGTATATAAAGCGTGCGGCACCGCGATCCAGTGCCCAGAGGACACAGCGGAACACCGATCACTGTACGGGACCTCTGTGTGATTGGCCAATCAGAGATCACATGCAGAGTAGTAAGCAAAATGTCACTTCTGACATCATTGATTACTACGTGTGAAATCTGTGAATGATCACAGAGATCACATGGTTCAGGGCTATTCACAACAGCCTTGTACCATGTGACAAGCTGTGACCAATCACAGCTCTCACAGTCTTTCTCAATGGCTGCAGGAATGCAGCCAGAGAGAAGGAGCAATTATTGTAAGCTCGAAAGAGCAGGGCCCTCGATCCCCTCATGTTTTGTATTGTTATTGTTCTGTCACATGTTCTGTCCCCCTTTGTAATGTTCAGCACTGAGCGAACTATTGGCGCTTTATAAATACTGTATAATAATAATAATTGCTTTTACAGCCTTTATGGGTGTAAAAGCAATCAGTTACAAAAAAAAAAATCTTCATCACCCCCCACAGGTAACACTGTACTGCTAGGGTGACAGTATGTTAAAAATAAGTACATAATATTATAAAACAATAAAATAATAATATAATATTTTTGAAAAATTATTATTTTTGGTTATAAACTAATTTTGTTTTTTTTTTTTTGTTTTTTTTACTGAAAAGATACCTGAATACATTTTGGCCAAGATTTAAGAAGAAAGATTATTTGTTTGCAAAATTTTATAAGAAACACTTTTTTTCTAAAATTTGTGGACTTTTTCATTTATATAGCAAAAAAAAAAAAAAAAAAATCCCAGCAGTGAATAAATACCACCAAAATAAAGTTTTATCTGTCTCAAAAAAAATGCTAAAAAATTCATATGGGTACAGTGTTGCATGACCGCGCAATCGTCATTCAAAGTGTGATAGCACTGAAAGCTGAAAATTGGCCTGGGGGGGGGGGGGGGGGTGAAAGCGTCCAGACTGGAAGGGGGGAGAAAGTGTCTGGACTGGAAGGGGGGAGAAAGTGTCTGGACTGGAAGGGGGGAGAAAGTGTCTGGACTGGAAGGGGGGAGAAAGTGTCCGGACTGGAAGGGGGGTGAAAGTGTCCGGACTGGAAGGGGGGAGAAAGTGTCTGGACTGGAAGGGGGGAGAAAGTGTCTGGACTGGAAGGGGGTGAAAGTGTCCGGACTGGAAGGGGGTGAAAGTGTCCGGACTGGAAGGGGGGGAAAGTGTCCGGACTGGAAGGGGGGGAAAGTGTCCGGACTGGAAGGGGGGAAAGTGTCCGGACTGGAAGGGGGGGAAAGTGTCCGGACTGGAAGGGGGGGAAAAGTGGGACTGGAAGGGGGGAAAGCGTCCGGACTGGAAGGGGGGGAAAGCGCGCGGACTGGAAGGGGGGGAAAGCGTCGCGGACTGGAAGGGGGGGAAAGCGTCCGGACTGGAAGGGGGGGAAAGCGCGCGGACTGGAAGGGGGGGAAAGTGTCCGGACTGGAAGGGGGGAAAGCGTGCGGACTGGAAGGGGGGGAAAGCGTCATTGGAAGGGGGGTGAAAGCGTCTGGACTGGAAGGGGGTTAAAGCAGCCACAGCCTGAGTGGGGGGGGGGGTCTGCAGACCTCTGCAGAGATACTGCTACCTCCATACAGGGAATAAAAGTCCTTCTCTGTAGCATGCTGGCAGAGGACAGCCTTTTGTACCCAGACTGTGGCTGGCTTTGAACATCTGTTTGATTTGAAGAACCTGGAATGCATTTATGTGCTTTAATCTGAAGGTTCAGTTGGGCTTTAACCCGTTATCTGCCACCGGTGTATGGCGTGCGTTGCCAACAGCGGAAATTGGGTGGGGGGGGGGGGGGGTGGAGTTTTAGGCTGCTGTGTATAAATCTAGCAAGCCAATGATCTCCTGTGCAATGGGAGTGATCACATTCACACACCCCCAGAACATGCATCCCCACCCCCGCCATGTTTCCTGGGCTCCATGCTCCCATTGGCCGACCCGGGACTGGCATTATGTTTACCTCCAGGTAGAGGGGAGGGAGACCAGCAAACCAGATCACTGATCTCTGCCTAGTAAGAACCCTGGCTAAATGGTTAGCACTTCCGCCTGGCACTACGCGGGTTGTTGGTTCAAATCCCAACCACGGCACCACCTGCCTGGAGTTTGCATGTTCTCCCTGTGCCTGCGTGGGTTTCCTCCGGGTACTCCAGTTTCCTCCCACACTCCAAAGACATGCTGGTAGGTTACTTGGCTCCTGTCTAAATTGTCCCTAGTATGTGTATGTATGAATGTGAGTTAGGGACCTTAGATTGTACGTCCCCCCCCCCCCCCCCCCTCTCTCTCTCTCCCCCCCTTCCCCCCTCTCTCTTCTCCCCCCCTTCCCCCCCCTTCCCCCCCTGTCTCCCCCCCCCCCACCCTCCCTCTCCCTCTCTCTCTTGTTGAATTTCCATTTTCCGTCTTTGTGTTGCAGGTTGAGGTTCTACTGGAGCTGTGCAGAGAGATCCGATCTTCCAGTCCCCCCTCCCTACAGAGACCCCCCAGCAGCTGCTCCGTCCTGGCCGACCCCCCGGTGATAAAGGACATGGTGACGCAGGAGATCCGCATGTTACTGCTGAGTGTGAGGAGCAAAGAGCGACACCAGGGCCTGTGAGTCTCCCTTCCCGGCTACTTGTAGTACATGTGACTGAGCTTAAAGTGGTTATAATGCCTAACCAGTCATCAGTACCCTCCCCCACTCCCCCCCCTTCCCCCGTTTACTTACCTGAGCCCTCATTCGATCTGCAGCTCTTCTCTCGCTTTAGTTCTGGGTCTCACACGCTTTGCTGGGGCACCAGGAGCCATTGGCTATTGTGGCTGTCAATGAAAGCAGGGCTCAGGAGCAAGCACGCACAAGTGCCCCCATAGGAAGCAGCTTTCTCTGGGGGCACTGGACAGAAAGGAGGAGCCAGGAGCGCCAGTAGGGGACCAGAGAAGAGGAGGTTCAGGGAGAGAGACCTGTGTATAAACAATACAAATTTCTGCCCTGTCAGCTCCTGCACTCTGCTTTGTATGGCTCTGCATAGCAGCATGCTTACAGTGAAACACACCCAGCACACCATTAACCCTTTGATCGCCCCTCATGTTAACCCCTTCCTCCCCAGTGCCATTAGTACAGTGTCAGTGCTTTTTACTAGCACTGATCACTGTATTGGTGTCACTGGGGATGTCAGTGTCACCAAGTCAGTTCCCCCCCCCCTGTCACAGTGCCCGCCGCAGTCCCGCTATAAGTCGCTGATCGCCGCCATTACTAGTTAAAAAAAAAAAAAAAAAAAAAAAACCCAAATCCCAGTATATATACCGCCATTTGTAAATGCTATAACTTTCACGTAAACCAATTAATTTACACGTATTGGGATTTTTTTTTAGCAAAGACACGGAGCAGGAGACATTTTACCCTAAATTTAAGACGAAATTTGATTTTTAACGAAATTTTTTTTTTTTACTGGACATGTTTATCCGCTTGACGAATGACAGCTACAGCGCGGTTTGTCCAGTCCTGGGAGGGTGTCATATGTTGTCCTCCCAGAACATGCTCTCCCGGTCACCCCCTGTGGGTGCACACCTGGCGATCTCTGTGATCGCAGTGTCCTACGGACACAGCTGATCACATGATGTGGTAACATGCCAATCAACCACCGCATTCACTATATCCGCTCTCCCCGGACCCCGCATTCACTATATCCGCTCTCCCCGGACCCCGCATTCACTATATCCGCTCTCCCCGGACCCCGCATTCACTATATCCGCTCTCCCCGGACCCCGCATTCACTATATCCGCTCTCCCCGGACCCCGCATTCACTATATCCGCTCTCCCCTCCCTATACCCCGCATTCACTATATCCGCATTTCACTATATCCGGACCCCGCATTCACTATATCCGCTCTCCCCGGACCCCGCATTCACTATATCCGCTCTCCCCGGGACCCCGCATTCACTATATCCGCTCTCCCCGGACCCCGCATTCACTATATCCCTCTCCCCGGACCCCGCATTCACTATATCCGCTCTCCCCCGGACCCCGCATTCACTATATCCGCTCTCCCCCGGACCCCGCATTCACTATATCCGCTCTCCCCCGGACCCCGCATTCACTATATCCGCTCTCCCCCCGGACCCCGCATTCACTATATCCGCTCTCCCCGGACCCCGCATTCACTATATCCGCTTACCCGGACCCGCATTCACTCCGCTCCCCCGGACCCCGCATTCACTATATCCGCTCTCCCCCGGACCCCGCATTCACTATATCCGCTCTCCCCCCGGACCCCGCATTCACTGTATCCGCTCTCCCCCGGACCCCGCATTCACTATATCCGCTCTCCCCCGGACCCCGCATTCACTATATCCGCTCTCCCCCCGGACCCCATTCACTATATCCGCTCTCCCCGGACCCTGCATTCACTATATCCGCTCTCCCCGGACCCTGCATTCACTATATCTGGTCTCCCGCAGTACACAGAACATAGAAATGCAATTACTTTAGTAAATATAAACTGCTAAATACCTTTTCTCATCAGCAATATATAGCTGTCTTGTGACTTCTAATAGTGTCCAGTGTCCAGCAGAGCACTGGTTAAAGATTGTAGGAGTTTTCATTTTTCTCTAGGAGGATGCAGGACCCCTGACCTCTGTCTGGACAGTGCTGATTGGCCCTGTGCTGATCGCATGCACTCTCCCAAGAAAGAAAAACACAAAGCCTCTCTAGCAATACACACCAAACTAAGCTGACTCCACACGATATGTCTTATCAGGACATAAGAGGGGCACACTGGAAGAAGGGGAAGATCAGAGAAGACATATGACTAGGGCCCTGGATGTTACCTGTTCGGTGATGGTCTTATGACTAGGACATTTCGGCAAAGCTGCTATGACTGTGGCCCTGTTTGTTGCCTGTTTGGTGATGATGCCATGACTGGGGCCCTGGATGTTTCCTGTTTAGTGATGGTATTATGACTGAGGCCCTGGATATTGCCTGTTTGGTGATGGTGTTATGACTGGAGCCCAGGATGTTGCCTGTTTTGGTGTTTATGGCTGGGGCCCAGGATGTTGCCTGTTTTTGGTAATGGTGTTATAACTGGGCCCTTTTTAGTTGCCTGTTTGGTGATGGTGTTATGACTGGGGCCCAGGATGTTGCCTGTTTAGTGATGGTGTTATGGCTTGGCCCAGAATGTTGCCTGTTTGTGATGGTATTATGGCTGGGCCCAGAATGTCGCCTGTTTGGTGATGGTGTTATGGCTGGGCCCAGAATGTCGCCTGTTTTGGTGATGGTGTTATGGCTGGGCCCAGAATGTCGCCTGTTTGGTGATGGTGTTATGGCTGGGCCCAGAATGTTGCCTGTTTAGTGATGGTGTTATGGCTGAGCCCAGGATGTTGCCTGTTTTGGTGATGGTGTTATGGCTGGGCCCAGGATGTTGCCTGTTTAGTGATGGTGTTATGGCTTGGGCCCAGAATGTTGCCTGTTTAGTGATGGTGTTATGGCTGAGCCCAGGATGTTGCCTGTTTTGGTGATGGTGTTATGGCTGGGCCCAGGATGTTGCCTGTTTTGGTGATGGTGTTATGGCTGAGCCCAGGATGTTGCCTGTTTAGTGATGGTGTTATGGCTTGGGGCCCAGGATGTTGCCTGTTTTGATAATGGTGTTATGGCTGAGCCCAGAATGTTGCCTGTTTTGGATGATGGTATTATGGCTGGGCCCAGAATGTTGCCTGTTTAGTGATGGTGTTATGGCTGGGCCCAGGATGTTGCCTGTTTAGTGATGGTGTTATGGCTTGGGCCCAGGATGTTGCCTGTTTTGATAATGGTGTTATGGCTGGAGCCCAGAATGTTGCCTGTTTAGTGATGGTGTTATGACTGGAGCCCAGGATGTTGCCTATTTGGTGATGGTGTTATGGCTGGAGCCCAGGATGTTGCCTGTTTTGGTGATGGTGTTATGGCTGAGCCTTTTTAGATGGCGATGGGATCTGCACTGTCCCTGTGTCACTTGCTATCATTGTTCCTCAGAGGGCCTGAATACAGCCCAGGCTCTCCCCCATCTGTATTGTTCTCTGGTTAATCCCACCTGACCCAACCTATTCAGCATCTCCAGAACAACTACATGTGTCCGAGGAGAATCTTCCTGAGAGTGCCTGTAAACGCTGCCCTTCTCCAATACAATGGGCCTCTAATTGGTTATTTCATAGCAACTGGGCTGCCTTGTCAGGCATGCAATGCAAGCCAGAGGGGGCCACTTTGTTGGCAGAACAATAAAGCCATTCCTGTGTGTGTCTCCCCCGCGGTGTGAGCCCATCCATCCCATGTCAGTTATACCCCCCTGGACAGATAGAGGCACGTTCTGTTGTCCTTGCTCTTGTAACTGGCAGATCCCAGTCCGGGTGACGTACTTCACCCAAATTCCTAATATTAGACAGCTGGGCGCTGACACTTACTGCCCGGTGATGGATCACTACCAGTCACTGATACATTGACGTCAAGCCAGAATAAGGAGGAGAATTATACAGAATAATGACCACTTTAGAGAAGATAATGCTTTATTCTGACCATTGTAAATCGTGGAAGTAACCCTTTCCTCAACTGACTACATCTGCAGAGAACATTTGCCGATGGCCAGATGAGGTAAGGTCTGTATGTCTAGAGGCCATTCTGGGTAAAACCTGGCCAAGCATTTTTGGGGATGAAATGATTGGCGGGGATGGGCTTATTGCTGTTGTTGTCCACTGCGATAAGGGGAGATCTTGGGTACATTCCTCCTCTGTAGGCCAGAACATGCACGTTCTTGGAATGTCCCTGATTGTCCAACGATCTCCATTAAAAAGATCTTGATTGTCCTGATTGTGCATACGTGGCCGACCACCGCCTGCAGGTACCTCATATATGTAATGATAAAAAATACTACTACAATCACTGACTGGCCTCCATCACATATTGTCATTCCAAATTTTACAAACCCCACCAGACCTCCCAACTCTCCACTGGGCTTCGCTGAGTATATTCTCAGCTCTTCCAGGATCAGCGTGCAGCTATATTTAGAGACTTTGCACTTCCTTCATTCCTTATACAGGTATTCATTTAGACCTCTTATTCTCAACCAGGGTTCATCCAGAGGGTGCAAGGCGTTCTTTGGGCTGTGGCTGCTTGACCTCCCATGTAAAGGGACCTTCATAATTCTGAGTCCAATGGCACCTGGCAGATCTTTTTAGCTCTCTGTAAGAGGGACTGTCTTCCCAGTAACCACCAATGTAAGGGACATTCTTCCCACTGACCACCAATGTAAGGGACATTCTTCCCACTGACCCCCAATGTAAGGAGCATTCTTCCCACTGATCACCAATGTAAGAAACATTCTTCTCACTTACCCCCCATGTAAGGTACATTCTTCCCACTGACCCCCAATGTAAGGGACATTCTTCCCACTGACCCCCAATGTAAGGGACATTCTTCCCACTGACCCCCAATGTAAGGGACATTCTTCCCACTGACCCCCAATGTAAGGGACATTCTTCCCACTGGCCCCCAATGTAAGGAGCATTGTTCCCACCGACCACCAATGTAAGGGACACTCTTCCCACTGACCACCAATGTAAGGGACATTCTTCCCACTGACCGCCAAT